TCTTGCAGTCCAAGGGACTCTCAAGAGTCTTCTCCAGCACTTGAGGATTGTGCATAGGCAATTTTGCAGAAACTGAAATTTACGTATGCTTGTTATATAGAACACAGGGTGGGGACCCCAGACTCATCCTGTATACTCCATAGTGAGTGAATTATTGGGGGGGTCCCAGAAACCTATTTCTGAAAACTGACTTTTTGGAGTCTGGTTCAATTCGACAATATTCCGGTGAGTTAAATGAATATCTAAAAGGGCTCCTGAAAAAACCAAGGCAACTAGTTTTTTTCAAAGAGTGCAGGCACTTTACATGCTTGATACCACCGATGTCCACTATGCTTCTCTTAGCCTGAATTGTGAACAGAACAGCACTGAGTTTCTTTTTATTTAGATGTTTGCTGGGTTGATAGCTAAAGATATTTTTGAACTTAACCAATTTCCAGTACCCACAAATGAAATACTATTTTGTGGGCCACAAAATGCCTCAGAGATTGACATTTTGAAGAAGAGATTTCATCAAATGCAAATCTAAATCTCATATTAGAGTAATTTTTATCTAGCACCCTTCTCCAGAAGAGTTTGAGCCACAACTGGCAGAAAGCCATCCCAATACACAAACACCAGCATACGCAGCCAATTCTCACTCACCATGTGTATGTCAGATGTGGAGGCTGAGGTCAGGCGTCCTAACCAAGATAATGCAAATGACTATCTGTTGTGAGCATATCCATCTGTGGTTAAGGGGATGTGCCATCACTAATCCAAATCTGGCCTGCATTAATTTTCCAAAATAAAAAACAGCCTTACCAGGCATAGAATCAAAGTGTTCAGGTCCGTAAGTGCTGCTCACAGTGGTGTATGAGAACATAGTCTTCCTCTCCTTGAAAAAGATTTCTTCTAGACTGCACCAAAAATTAATCTATACCAATGTTCTGTTGCCAACAGTGACCGAGCAGATGCTTCAAGGAATCCTGGATATTTATTTCTTTACTATTTACTTCATTTATACCCTGCCTTTCTCCCTCCAATGGGGACTCAAAGTAGGTTAGGCTGAGAGTCTGTGACTGGCCCAAGGTCATCCAGCAAGCTTCCATGGCAGAGTGGGGATTCAAACCTGAGTCTCCCAGGTCTTAGTCCAGCAGTCTAACCACTATATCACTGAAATGTACTGAGACTTGCTAGTGAATTCAGCTCTCATACTTTATTAGGTGAAGATCAAGACGAAAGTTACCGGCTCGCAGGCCAGCTTATATGTGCACTCAAGCCCACACCCAAAACACACCCCCACACCAGTGATAGGTTATTTACAGTGGCCGAGAGTTCCATAGGCTCTCAGCCAGGAGCCTATCCCTCGGGTTGGTGCGGGCTAGGATCCACTTGGCCCATTGTCTCTAGAAGCGAAGCTCAGACGCTTTGCATGACCACGTGTAGACCTAGCCTTGCACGCGGTTGGAGATGAGTACATTACAATCACACTGGTTCTCCATTAACATTCACATGCCTTCAAACCAAGCAAGCAACAAAATAAGCATTGTGCTATCTTGGTATTACAAGGATGTACAAGATTTTGATAGCTAGAGTGTAACCCAATCAGAATACAGTGGTTTGTATACAGAGCTACCATTGCTACTTATGGCAGGTGAGTGGATTAAATAATAGGATTCCTTGCCCTTCAAGGCCTTCCTCCATCACACTTATATCCCTTCCTTCCTTCAAGGAGCTTGCAGCAGTGTGCATGATTCTCCCTTCCTCCACTTTCTTTTTGCACCAGCCATGTGAGTGTAGGATAGGCAGAGACAGAGTGACTGATCCAGGGTTACCCAGCAAGCTTAATATCAGAATAGGAGTTTCAAAAGTTGGTTTAACATTCTAACCTTTATATTGCATTGGGTTTCATTGACCTTGATTGCAGGCATTGACTTTGATTGGATCCAGCCAACAATTCCACTCAATCTTGCTTAGTTCCTTACCTTTCTACAGTCCCCATCACCCATAGTGTTTGTCCATGCAGGTCCCAAGATCCCCAGCATTGTCTTATTGGTGGTCACAGGAGACCCCCTCCTTTTTTACCAGTTGAAAAGCTGGTTGGACCCACTTCATTACCTTTTCCAATGCAATGCAACCCATTTTGACACATTTGAAGGTAATGTACTTCTTATTATCCCTCTGATGGTCTCATCAAGGCAGAGAGAGGCTCTCAGCTGGAGGTGTGGCGAGGCATGATGGAGAATGCCTAGCCGCTTCCAGTGGAACTTGAAAGCTGAAGAGATGGGGCTGGATCCAGGCATGCAGAGGCTTGGCTGCTTTCTCTGTTCCTCCTGATCAGTGCATTTGTCAGCTACATCTGCCCTTCATCTCACTACTACACAGGTGGATCCAGAGGTCATTTCGGGGGGATCGTGGGGGATCGCAGTTCCCCTGGGTGAGGTACGGGGGCGGGGCACATGACGAAGCCCCGCCCCCTGCTTCCAGCCGCCCCGCTTCCGGCCCTCATTCAGCCAGGAGGAGGCAGGAGAAGAGGGAGGGTAAGTTGCTTCCTCCCTGCCTCTCCCCACCCCTGCCTGCCTGGGGCCAGGGAGGGCCTTCGCGGGGCTTCCTTGCACTCCCGCCAGCCTTGCAGGTCCACCGACGGGCCCCTCATGGGGCTCGGCAGTGGAGCTGCAAGGCCGGCGCTGGCGGCCGGGACCGTTGGAGGCGGGGTGTGTGGCCTTATGACATACTTCCGGTGATGTCAGGGGGTGTGGCATATGCTAATGAGTTATGCTAATGAGTCCCCCTAGCTCTTTTTCTATGAAACGACCCCTGGGTGGATTTCTTACTGAATGCTACAGTCCACTAATTAAATTATGAAAATGTTTCTGTATTTGAATGCTGGAGACATTAGCAGTCATGGAATTGAGATGGCATCCAAGTACTCCAAAGAAATACAGACTTGGTGGCGGCATCCATCCAGCTCAGCAAGACCTGTACGAGCATTGCAACCGGGATGCAAATCTGTATCAGGTGTTTACACTGATTTTCCTTGCTGGATCTCAGGAGTCTCTGGTGCCTTTTCCTCCAAATGAAGACACCGTAAAGGCTCCCCTGAACTTGTCATTGCTCTAGGAAAGGAGTACCTGAATCAGGGAGGTATAGAAATCTCCAAGCAGTAAAGTAGTAAAGAGACACCCTTATTATCGTGGCATGAGCAGGGCTATTTTGGTCAAAACTCCAGTTCAGCTAACAGCTGGAGCTGGCATCCAGTGCTGCAGAAAATGCTTTTTCAAAATCCTGACCCTGTTGCCATTTCGTACAAGGATTGTCATTAGTTCCAAATCCTGTGGCAGTCTGATTAAAGCAACTCTTTTTAAGCTATGATATGAAATGATAATACATCCGATCTGGGCTCGAGGGTTGTTGCAACGTGTAGAAATGGAATGACAGCTGCACAGTGGCTGATTTTAAGTGCTCTTTGCTGCTGTGCCCCTGTCACAATGAGTATGCCTATAGATACACTTTTGACAAAGGGTCTCCTTTTAAAATGATGAAAACTACATTTTTAGATGTTGCACTTGACCATTGAATAATGATAATACTTCTTAGTTGGTAAGGTGTTGAAGTAGGACATAATAGCATCCAAAGAGCACATGAAAGTTTTGTGCAGTAAAAAAATGGGGGGGAGCAGGCAAGTCAGGAAGACTTGTACAGTCTTCTAAGATTACTTCAGAATCTGTTAATGAATGCATCAGGTTTTTTTTTTTGTCATTAACAGCATAATCTTAAGTAGAATTCCAGCCTTCTTAGCCTATTGACTTCAGTTACCTTCAGAGGGTACAGCTCTGCTAAGAATTGCATGGTTCTTTAGGGATGGTGCATCCTTTGGTGACTGCAGCGTCAAGTGGTGGGTTTCATGTGTGAAAGAGACTTGTCCTTGAGAGCCAGTTTGGTGTAGTGGTTAAGTGTGCGGACTCTAATCTGGGAGAACCGGGTTTGATTCCCCACTCCTCCACTTGCACCTGCTGATGTGACCTTGGGTCAGTCACAAGCTCTGGCACAGCTGTCCTTGAAAAAGAGCAGTCTGTGTCAGAGTTCTCTCAGCCCTACCCACCTCACAGGGTGTCTGTTGTGGGGAGGGGAAGGGAGAGGAGTTTGTAAGCCGCTCTGAGACTCCAAGTGAAGGGCGGGATATAAATCCAATCTCTTCTTCTCTTCTTCTTCTTCTAGCAGAATAAAGTGGGAGATGCCAGAGATTGCTGTATGTACTTTACCACTTTTGAATAATCCCCCTCATTTAAAAAAAATTCTGCAAATGAAAAAATAGCACAGCACATTGGAAGACTCAAGTCCAGCTTGCTCTCTAGCTTTCCATTCATAGGAGGTTTTTAACTTAGGGAAGCATTCGAGAAATGTCATTCTCCCCCACTTGAAGTCTGGCGTGGTACAGTCCAACTCTGTTGTAGTGGGAATTTACCACTTCATTCCTACCCTGTTCTGCTGTACATGTAGATCAGGCCTGAGCCATTACAGATCCAACATTACAGACAGCCCTTCCTGATCACTTTCTTCCCATTTCCAGCGCTTTTCAATGGGTTGCCAGTTCTCCTACTATGGTGAGAGACCTTCTGCTAGCAACCCCTGCTGCTTGCCACTGCTTCATTGCCCAGTGGGTGAAAAATAAATTTAAAAATAGCACTGGCACAATGGTGTGATGTCAATTCCAAGTTTTCCATGGAAAAATAGGAATCACTGGAACCTTGATGTTTCCCCCCGAAAGCGAGGGAATGCTGTTGCGCTGATGGCCAACCTCTGTGTGTCCCCCCCCCCAAAGCTCTCTTCAGTTGCCAGCTGCTGATTGGCAACCCTAGTCAATCCATACTTTAAGCTCTTTAAGTTCGGTGTACTTTAAGTTTCATGTTCAGGTAAAACTGTGGTACAAAAAGCCCTGCCTTTGTAAACAGGGCACCAAAGATGGTGACTTAACAATGGCAATAAAACCTTCTGTTGTTGTCTACTGTGTTTCGTTTCAGTCTTCTGTGATGTCCGTTTGTTTCGCTCGCTTTCATCCAAACTTGGTTGTCGGAGGCACTTACTCTGGTCAGATTGTGCTGTGGGATAATCGCAGTCACAGGAGGACGCCAGTTCAGCGCACACCTCTTTCTGCTGCTGCTCATACGGTAAAGGTTTTATTTGGTCACCTCCTTTTTTAGAACAGCAAAGTATATTAAACAGTAGCAGAAGTCATATGGTATATTTGATTATACTCAATAAAAGAGCATATAGGGTTGTGTCCAAACATCTTTTTATATTGCTCCTGATGCAAGACACATGAATGACTAGTTCATGTTACTTTTGAGAGAAGGCTTGAAGGGGTGGGCTCAGTCCTTATGCCAGTTCAGACAGACAGTTTTCAGTGTTGCTATCAACACACTTTACTTTTGTAGTAAATGTACGCCAGCTGATGTGCTCTTGTGAATGGCTGAGTACACATTCCTGACTGTGACTCATGGCAGTTCTTCAAAACATGTGTTTAATCAGAGCTATGTGGACATGTGTTCATCCTGCCTTGTGAATGTGGCAAGACATGCAAGCCTATTGAAACATACTTTGTAGTCTGTGTGAAAATAAAAATCGACCCTCTTCCCGTCCCCAGCTACAAAATCTACTACCAACCACCAGCTACCAAATTTTCTGAGCTTATCCTCCATATTGGTGCCAGGATTCACAAGGAAAGGGAGTCCCACCACACATTACTCACTAATTTCCTTTCACACCCACCACACATCTGCATTTGGGATAACAGGAAGTTTTAATTAAGTAAAAAAAACCCTCTAGCATGATGATTTCATTTCCAAAATAAATAAAAGCAAGATGGCATCTTCTCCTGGGAAAGGAAAGAGTCCAGTGAGATTCTCTGCAAAGTACAGTCTGGCTGGTTTTTTTCCTTCTTCTTTTCCTCCCCTACCTCCCACTCTGCATTTGAAACATCTTTTTCAGTTCTGGAGTGAGGCTGATTGCTTATGAAACTGACAGCTGACAGCTCTGATTAAAGCCAGGCACTGCACAGGAAAGTGCTGTGAGAAGAACAGTGAGTTGTGCCCATGCAACAGAATGGTGCTCCACCTATTTGAACTTGGCTCACGTTAGTCCTTGCAGTTCCTAGCTTAAGTGAAATCCTAAGCAGGTCTACTTAGAATCCTGCTCAAGTCTACCCAGTGGGGTTCACACCCTGGAAAGTGTTTTTAAGAAAGTACTGTAGATTACCAGTCTATATGAGCACCAAAGTGAGGGGGACACATTCCGTAAACCTAGAGATGGTCTGACTTGGCTTATTTGATATACCAGCATTGACTGGTTACTAAACAAAGATGTAATAGCTTTGGAAGTGCATAAAATCTATAGCAACAGAATCATCTCACCCACTTCATAGTTAGACAATCTGCTTTCGTGTGTGCTTTTCCCCTTTATCTACACATAGATATGAATTCATGTTGGATTTCTAAATTCCTAACTACACCATAGCTTTTAAATATGCCAGTGGAGAATAAAAGGAGTGTATTTTGGATAGGGAAATAGAAGGAAAGTAGTCCCTGAGATTCCTCTTGTTTAAACAGGGCAGAGTAAATCATCAACATTTTAGTGCCTCCAAATTACTTAACCCCTAAAATCATACCTGTGGTAGATCACTCAGTTTGGTTATCCTTACAGTTAAGAGTATATGGATATCAGTACACCTTTCTTTCTAGGAAGTCCTGATAGGCTTATTAATTCTGATAGGATGTTTACATTGCTTTAGAGCCTAACCAAAAGGCACATCTGCCAGCAAGAAATGGGGGTAATTTTCACTGATTTCCCCTCCCACCTTGCCCCTACTTGGTATTCTCAGTGGCCCACTGGTTCCCAAGGAAAAGGTTGTGATGAGGATAGGAAGCTGCAGCAGAAAATGGGAGGAGGGAAAGTTTGCTTCCATGAGTTTTCCTCATACTTGGTTAGAAATTCTATTGATGCCATAGTTCTTTATAGAGATAACACTGGTGACAAGAGAAGAGCGGAAGAAGAGATTGGATTTATAACCCGCCCTTCGCTGCCCAAAGGAGTCTCATAGTGGTTTACAATTTTCTTTCCCTCCCTCTCCCCACACAGACACCCTGTGAAGTAGGTGGGGTTGCGAGAACTCTGAGAGGACTGTTCTTGAGAGAAAAGCTCTGAGAGAACTGTGACTGAGCCAAGGTCATGCCAACAGCTGCATGTGGAGGAGTGGGGAATCAAACCCGGTTCTCCCAGATTAGAATCTCCCAGTTTAGAGTCTGCACTCCTAACCACTACACCAAACAAATGATACCAGTTTGTCTACATAAGACATCAATACTTTAAAGATATACTTTTTGGTCTAAATTCAGTATTGATGTTAAAGACATGTACTTGGAAGGAGATGTATGTGTCTGGATAGTCTGATGACCAAATACCTTGTGCTTACATCAGAAAACTATGCAGGGGCTGCTGAAGAGTGCATCTGAAGATGTGTTTTTCTGCGACCACTGCCACAACAGTCAGCAATTGCACATGTGAAATTGAAAGGAAGACAGGGATGCTTGAGGCCCAACAATTCCAATTGCCTCCATATCCCAAAATAAAGACATCAGTCCCATGGGTGTAGGATTTATTAATTAAGTGGGTAACATGCTAAACACTCACACACCCCTTGGTGTGGGTTCCCTGAAAGGCTGCCCGGTTGGGTTTGCCAATGTCTGAGTAATTATGATGGCCCTGTCCACTTCCCTCCCTCAATGGCAAGATATTCCCTCCATTTTTCTTTCCCTTTACTGACTGAGCTGTCTTAGTAATGTGTTTTATTTTTGGTGAAGAAGTCTGGCTGTCCCATCCTGTCACAGTATAATATTTTGGGCTGTTGGCTCAGCCCAGGAACCCGAGTGAAGGATCAGGAGCCCGCTTTAACTTAAACAGCTTAAATGACTCTTGAGACATTTTGAAATCCAAAAATAACAAAATATTTTATCTAACATAGAGGGGAAAGGTCAGCTGAAGTCAGGGGTTGAAATTTCTGAGGTAAAAACAATACATGCACAGAGTTTAGTTCTTGTGTTTCAGGCTAATAAGAGTTTCTTTTTTAAAAAAAAAAATTGTTTCAATTTACCACACAAAAACAAAATGTAAACTAGAACATAAACTAGAAACTGCAATAATCTTCTAAATAAATCATCATCTAAAGGCAGTTTCTAACTACACCAGACCAGAGATCTCTGCACTCTTCAGAGCTAACTCCCTGTTTGATCAGGTAGGGATATTCTCCTCTCACTAGATCGGGTAGGGATATTCTCCTCTCACTAGTCTTCGCCTACTTCCCAAACTTCCTTGCCAACTTTCCCCCAGTTGTCTATGTTAAACTTCTTTCAGCTAAGGTTGAAATCAGACTGTCACTACTCAATCAAGGCAGAAATCTGACTGAATTCTCCTCAGCATCCAGTTCAGAAGTCTTCCTCTGTTCAGCTGTTGCTAACCAATCAGATTCTTTGGAGCAACCTGTCACTCAAGGCCTTCTGTTTCTGTGAATTAACCTTTCACAGTCCTTACCCGTTTGTACAGCACTTCTAAGTTTTTAAAAGTGCAGTCCATCACAGTAATCCTACTCTAGCTCAAAGCCTGACCTGACCCCAGGCCATGTGTTGCTTTTCTGTGCCTGCGCCAAAGTGATCCAGAGAGATTCTGCCCATCAACTCTGTCACCCCACCCCATAGAGTTCAAGCGATGATAACCAGTACCTGTTGCTTAACCTCTACCCCCGAGACCATTCAGCCATGAATGGCTGGTTTGGATGCCTCACCTTGTGCTCCAATGCCTCAGGATACTCCCCAGTCTAACCTAATATCAAACACCAAACCCATGGTAATTTTGCTAATCCCATCTGGGGCCTAACTAAGCCCTAAGGATCAAGGCTATCTAGCCAATTCCTCTAAAATCATATATAGGCAAAAACAGCCTCTCCTGGCCAATTTGCGAATGAATCCATCTTGGCCTTGAAGTGACAAGCTAGTAGTACGTTGTTAAAGAAGGGAGATAAGGGTAAAAAGCTTGAAAGCAAAAATATGATACAATAGATGGTTGGCTTTAAATGGCCCTTTCCTCACCCTCTCCTACTGGTTCCTTTGCCCAGGGCAGTTGTTATTCTTCCCACCCCACCACTGACTACCTTCCTTGCTCCCAGAAGGTAAAAAATGTGCCCCCATCAGTTCAATTGGAACACATCCTTGCTGAAATTGTTAGTCCATCATAAATCTATCATAACTCAGTAGACGGGTATTGTTACTTTAGATTAACTTCACTGAAAATGAGAGCATAAATTTGGCCCATGATTAAGAAAACTTGATGGATGTGTTGGCCTTTATTTCCCACTGGAATGTTTTTGAAATATGTTGTACAGTGGCCAAACTGTGTCAGTGTTGATATGGGCTTTTTTAAAAGTGACAACTATTTTCTTCAGTAAACTCTACATATTTTTGCCCCTTTAAGAAACTTGTCTCTTTCTGCTGATACTTTAACACATCAAATACCATCAACAGCATGATAACATATCCCTCTGGGTAAAATTTCATCCACTTAATGCAGCATTTTCACAGCCACAATCATCTTGGTCAGTTTGTGACAGTGTAAAATCAGCCTTTGAAAAACATGTTTGAATGTCATGATGTACATGCAAGCATTTGGCCGTACAAAGATATTCCATTCCTATCTGGCAAGAGGAGGAGTTCTGGGCATTGCATGATGACTGAATCTCTCTTTCAAATAACGTTTGTGCCATTTAGAAATTAACCTTTTTTGAAAATGTGAATGGGCACCATCTGATCTCTGGTATTTCATGTATTTTCCAGCACCCTGTATACTGCGTAAATGTTGTTGGAACACAGAATGCTCACAACCTCATTACCGTTTCCACAGATGGCAAAATGTGTTCCTGGAGCCTGGATATGCTCTCAACGCCACAGGTGGTTTTGTTTTTACCTACACAAGAAGAAAGGGTTGGGGTTAAAGCTGATGCCTACTTAATGGAACATCGTCCCTGAAAGCCAAAACCTCACATCCTACAAGGACTAAACACTCTGTGGATGCACTTGAAAGAGTGCAGCTTGCTTCCAGCAGTTGGCTCCTCTAAGAGCCAAAACCTATTTCCTCTGCCACAAATCATGTAATTATTGTAATGCGTTAATACACAGGTCAGTTTCAAGTGAAAATGAAATAATCCAGTTTAAAGAACAGGTAATCATATAAATCGTCTGAGGTATAAATCACACTTACTCTCCGGCATTGTTTAACAAATATAGACTGGATGGTAGAATAGCCATCTTTGAAAGTGTAGCTTCTGATCAACATTTCAGTGACTAGACTAAGCTAAGCAAACAGATCCTATCAAAAGTTTGACAGACATATTTTTCACCTAACATTGCTTTTTCTTCCCATTTTCATTATTGGTAGGACTCTCGCTTGTTTGAAAAAAGAAATAGTTGATTAGATTGACTAACAATGCAATCCTAAACAGAATTGCATCCTTCTAAGACCATAGTCGTCAATGGACTTAGAAAGGTGTAGCACTTCTTAGGATTGCACTGTAAATATGCCTGTGAATGGTCTGATTCTCTCTAAGGCAGCATCATGTGTTTAGGGGTGTGTGTGTGTGCATATGATACAACAGAAGCCGCCTCAGAAGAAGCATTCTTTCCTGTGTTTGTGAAAAGAGGAGGAATGTCTTTTCCAAGAAGGCACTGCCATCAAAGGATTTGCAAGTACCGATTGATTAAATGTTGTGGCTGCTTAAAGTAAACTATATGCTTACTTTGAGAATATAAAAAAGAGAAACAGTTGCCCAAAGGCTTGTTAAATTAAGGGAAGGCTGATTTTATTTATTAGTTGATTTCACGTATTTTTTTAGACTGCCATTCCACTCAACAGTTCTCAAGACAATTCATAGCAAGTTAACACACACACACACACACACATGCACACACGCGCACACACACACGCACACATCAATGTTCCCTCTAAGCTGTGGAGTCTTGTGAGCAAAAATCTACTTTGTGAGCTACTGGCATTAAAGTTGTGAGCGAGCGATTTGGCTACTGCATAAATTAGTTTGTTTGGAGCCATCCCTCCTGAGCTGAGACATAAATCTGTGAGACAGAGGCTAAAAAACTGTGAGCTAGCTCACACTAACTCAGCTTAGAGGGAAAACTGGTGCACACACATTCTTACATTATAACATCAACCTGGAATAACATAAAAGAGCCTTAAAAAGCACAGGGGGACTGTTAGGTACGAGACTCGAGGCAGCAGGTGAACAGTGATAACAACTTTATTTAAACACGAAGTCAGAAGAACAGAACGAGACAAACATTGGAGCAACAGGCTCCCTTTTAAACAGTTCGGGCTTGGCAAGCCACACCCACATGTCAGATAGTGTCCAATCAGTTGCAGTACATAAAGGCCAATCATTTTGCTTCCCTCCAGAACTTCCTTTGTTCTGATAGGTCGGTTTTACAATACCTTTTCAGATTCAAGCTCAATACCTTTATACATTATTTACATACACAACAGGGACGAACCTCTGGGAATGCTGTCCCCAAATCATTGTAGCTCAGCCTTCTGGATAAGAAGGGTCTCTTTCCACTGAAATGGAAGTGTCTAGGCTCCCATTTCTAGAAAACGAGAGGGCTCCCTGTTTTCATGTTAGCCATATGAATGTGAGAAGGGATCACTCGCCCTTTGTCCTTACAAAGGACTCACGGACCTTATGGACTCCAGTTGGGAAAAGGGTGACATAAGGGTTTCAACGTCAAAGCCAGCCCCTTTAATATCAGCTTGGAAAGAAACTGGAAGCCAGGGCAGTTAAGAGACTACTGGCTTTATATGGTCATTCCAAATGAAATGTTGAATTAAATCCACGAGGAGAAAAGCTTAAGAAAAATGTGCTAAATAAATAAATGATGCGTATCCTCCCCTCACAAAGCTGGTGGAAGTGGTTGTCTTTAACACCATTAAGGAAACAGGTCTTTTGCTGTAATCGGGGAGGGGGGGGGACTGATAAAACAGCCCAGGAAATAGGAGCAAGCTGAGGTGATGCCCCTCAGGGGCTCCCTCCTTGGGCCTCACTAGCAGCAGCATGGAAGTAGGAAACTAGTAGGAAATTCTCCAGAGCAGTCACCTACCAGGAACTGTTGGTGGCAAGTTAAAGGTCCAGTCTGCCTCTGAGTGTCATATGTTTTGAATACAGTAGACTGAAAAACTTGACATGTTTTACTAGGAGAGCATGGAGCTGATGTTCAACAAATCCAAGCCGGTGGCAGTTACTGGAATGGCTTTCCCAACTGGAGATGTCAATAATTTTGTGGTGGGGAGCGAAGAGGGCACGGTCTACACAGCGTGTCGTCATGGAAGGTGATTTATTCGTATAAACAGATTGTGTTCCTGGCATCTCTTGCATAGGTTGCTATGTACTCTAATTTGACAGAGATTGCACTTAGCCATGTTGGTCCACAGGGGGAAAAATCTGCAGAACTTGAAAGCTTCTCACAACTTTGTGACACTTTAGTTGATATAACCCTGTGGTTGCTTATGAGTGTACTCTAACTGTCAGAGCACTGTAGAGAGTGAAAAGGTCCTTGTTTGAATCCATTAACTTCAGCATTCCAGGAAATGTGAAGGCTTGTGGCATTTCAGCCATAAAAAGTTAT